ACATGTGACACTAAGTGAGACTGAAATTGTAAGTAATAAGTCTTTCAACAGAGGCTGGAGAGAGGGCTCATAGACTTACATGCAGGCAAAACACCCATATACGTTTTAAGTCTTCCAACAAAGAAGAGCCTAGGACCAGATACCTTGCTGAATTCTACCAAACCTTTAAACAAGAGCTAAGACCAATGCTCCCAAACTGTCCCATAAACAAACAGGAAAGGAACACTGTCATTCTTGTTCTACAAACCAGTATTGCTCTGATACCAAAATCAGATATAGCTACAACAAAAAAGAAACGGTAATGCCCCTGATTAACATAGACCATGAGTTCTCAATAAAACCCTTGCAAACCAAATTCAAGACCACATTAAGATCATACACCATGACCAAATTGGTCTCCTTCCAAGGGTGCAAGTTTGGTTCAACACACACAAATCAGTGTAGGTGCGATTCAGTAAATAAACAGACATATGGGCAGAAACCACATGATCAGGACCAGCAAGATGGCTAGGTGGATAAAAGCACTTGCTGCTAAGCCTTGGTGCCCTAAGTTCAATTCCAGCCAGCTCCTTTAAGTTGTTTTTGACCTCCGCACACGTGTTCTGGCATGTGTGTTGCAGTTCAGGGTACTCACACGGACGCCATAAAGAAATGTGAAGAAAAGCCACATGATTGTCTCAACCTAGGCAGAAAAGTCCTTCAGCCAAGTGTCACTATCCCTTCAGGGGAAAGGAAAAGGAGGAGTATGCCTCAGCATGAGGAGAACTGTGTTGTTCTCAATGGTGAAAAAACCCAGACATTTGTTCTCCCCAGAGCCAGAGCAAAACTAGAGTGTTCATCCTCTTCACTCCTATGTAATGTAGAGTTCGAAGTCCTAGCTGAATTGGTAAGACGAGAAATAAACAAAAGGTTCCTAGGAACATGCCTAATCAAGGAAGTGAAAGACCTCTACAGCAAAACTTTTAAGTACATTAAAATTTAAAGAATAGTTTAAGCCGGGTGTTGGTGGCGCACGCCTTTAATCCCAGCACTCGGGAGGCAGAGGCAGGTGGATCTCTGTGAGTTTGAGGCCAGTCTGGTCTACAGAGCGAGCTCCAGGACAGCCTCCAAAACAATACAGAGAAACCCTGTCTCGAAAAAACAAAACAAAAAAAACCCCCAAAATTTTAAAGAATAGTTTAAAGACTAAAATTAAAACTTTAGTTCACACATACCTGGACACTTTCTTGTGCTTTGAAATAAATCTACAATGCTCTGTGTGATACAGCATATTCTTTTTTTTTTTTTAACGAGACAGGGTTTCTCTTTATTGTTTTGGAGGCTATCGGTCCAGCCCGGCCTGGAACTCACAGAGATCTGCCTGCCTCTGCCTCCCGAGTGCTGGGATTGAAGGCGTGCGACACCACCGCCCGGCTAGAGCATATTCTTACAGTACTTCATAAAATATGTTCTGTTTTAACTGCTAGAAATACATTTTCTAAGCTGGGCATTGGTGGTGCACGCCTTTAATCCCAGCACTTGTGAGGCAGAGGCAGGCGGATCTCTGTGAGTTCGAGGTCAGCCTGGTCTACAGAGTGAGTTCCAGGACAACCCCCAAAGCCACAGAGAAACCCTGTCTTGGGGGGAAAAAAAAGGATGGAACTATATAGCCCTGACTGTACTAGAATTCACTGTGTAACCCTGACTGTTCTGGAATTCAGAGATCTGTCTCTGCCTCAGGAGTGCTGGGATCAAAGGTGTCTTGAAAAACCAAAAAAAAAATTATTATTATAAATTCCTGATAATTCTTTTGGTGTCTTACGTGTGTGTGTGTGTGTGTGTGTGTGTGTGTACGTGTTAGCACTACTGCATGCACACATGTAGGCTCGTGCTCACAAAGTGTGGAGATCCAAGGACAATTAGTTTGAATCAGTTCTCTCCTTCTATCTTGTGAGATCTGGGGATCAAACTCAGATCTTCAGGCTTGGCTGCAAGCACCTTTACCTCACTGAGCCATTCAGCCAAGCCCAGATTCATTACTGAGCTGTTGCAGTGTTTGTGTTCAAGGAAGTACCATCCTACTTAACAGTGGCCCCACGGCTAAATTGCTGGTGCGTGCCTGTAATCCCTGTATTTGGGGGCTGAATCAGGAAGATTGTGAGTTCAAGGCCATTCAGAGCCACATGGCAAGACTGTGTTTCAATAGAAAAAAAAAAGAAAAAACAAAAAACAAAAAACAAAAAGCAAGCTAGTTCCCAAATGTAAAAGTAAAAGTGATAAAGCTAAGACAGGGCATTGGTGGCGCACAGCTTTAATTCCAGCACCCGGGAGGCAGAGGCAGCCGGATTTCTGTGAGTTCCAGGCCAGCCTGGACTACAGAGAGAGCTACAGGACAGCCTCCAAAGCTACACAGAGAAACCCTGTCTTGAGAAACAAAACAAACAACACCCCCCTGCAAAAAAAAAAAAAAAACCAAGAAACTAATGAAGCTATAAGTTATCATTAGTTATTTAGGAGACAGGATGTTCTGTCCTGCCCTCCACCCTAGTGTGTGTGTGTGTGTGTGTGTGTGTGTGTGTGTGTGTGTGTGTGTGGTGTAGACTCATGCCAGACTTGAACATAGTGAGTTTGTGGAGTTAGTGTGGCCCTCAGGACCCCATGTCAGCCACCGGGCAGTGCAGCTTTGGACCAATCCCTGCCCTCTCTGGGAGTTAGTATCCTCTTTTGTCAAAAGCTGGCCTGGGCCTCTTGCTGGCTCTAGCCAATGTGGTTCTGTGAGCTTAAGGATGGAAGGAGAGCCCCCAGCAAACAGAGCAGATTTCCACCCAAACCCTGGGGCCCCGCTGGAGCCCCTGTAAGTTCCATTCACCCAGCCCGTCATGTTTGCACAGCAAAAGAACCTGTTGTTCAGAGCCTTGATCTCAGGCCCCGGGGCCAGGGAGGCGGGGCAAGTGCAAATATTGGCACTGGCTGCTGAGCTGCCTCTTCTGCTGCCTGGCGCCAGGGGCGGGTCAGCTTTGCCCAGGCCCCAGGCCTATATCTTCCTGGAGTATCTTCTAGAGAATTGTTTGGGTGGTGGCTATGGCACCTTCTCCTTCGTGAAGGGAAGGACAACAAACAAGAAAGGAAGAAATGCCAGCCACCTCTTGCACACCTGTGGCACCTGCCAGGCTTCCCACCTGGGGAGAGCTGGCCGAGAGAGCAAGGCTTCAGGAGGGTTACAGTAGCTCTGGACGTGGGCCTGTGGACCTGGGACTCCTGACTCTTAAAAGCTGTGTCATGTTAGGCGAGCAACTCCATCTCTCTGTGCTTCTGGGAAGTGTGAGCAATTACGGCAGGGCGGGAGGTGGGGTAGTGTGGAGATGGAGGGAGACGGGCTGATAAGGGCTTACAGGAGCCGCTATGGCAGGCTGAAATGCTCAGACCCTACCGCTAATGCTCACGAGAGCCACAGGTCCGTCCCCTCTGGGTATCCCAGTCTTCTACATGAACCTTTACAGATATCCCTGCTTCTACTGACTCTACCATCTCCACACTGACTGACCATCTCCACACTGACAGACTCTACCATCTCCACACCGACAGACTCTACCATCTCCACACTGATAGACTCTACCATCTCCACACTGACAGACTCTACCATCTCCACACTGACAGACTCTACCATCTCCACACTGACAGACTCTACCATCTCCACACCAACACTACCATGCTCCTTCAGCGGCCGGGCGCCTCCCTGCCAATGCGCTGCTGCTGTCTGCACCCACCTGCCCACCTTTCCCTGCCCCCACCTTTCCCTGCCCCCACCTTTCCCTGCCTCCTACCAGGCTGGGTCCACTCCAAGGCCTCCTCGGGCCTCCACTTTGATTAGTCAGCCTTCACAGTTCCCCCGAGATGGCACACTACAGTGAAGTGTTCCACAAATGTCATACTCCACCGTCTGCTTTGTCCTCCACGTCACAGCGTTCAACAAGCTGCTTCGCCTCTTTCTGATAGGTTATAATTAATCAATGAATTTATTGTGTGTGGTACATGTGTGCATGCGTGTGTGTATGTGTGTGTTCCTGCATGCACACTTGGAGGCCAGAAGTTGGCACTGGGTATCTTCATCATTCATTCTCCACCTTATTTACATTTCCGTTTATTTTACGTTTGTGTGGCTGTGTGGATGTACATGTTAGCAGAGGACAAGCCCCTGTTTGTCTCTCTCTGCCTGTTCTCTCCTTGTGGGTTCTAGGAATCAAACTCAGGTTATCAAGCTTGGCAGCAGGTGCCTTTGCCTGCTGAGTCATCTCACTGTAACTCCACCTTCTCTTTGAGACAGGGTCTCCTACAGAACCAGAGTTCATCAGGGCAGCTGATGGGCAGTCAAGCCCCAGGACCTGCCTGTCTCTGCACACATATGCCGCCAGCACTGGGGACACAGATGCCACCCCATACCTGGCATGCACGTGAGTGCTGAAAAGCCAGGCCCAGAAAACACTTTGCTCGTTACCTCCCAAGACATCAAGGCAGGATTTGTTTTATTTTTCTGTTTTTCGAGGCAGAGTTTCTCTGTGTAGCCATGGCTGTTCTTGACCGGACTGGCCTTGAACTCAGAAATTCGCCTGTTTCTGCCTCTTAAGTGTTGTGATTGAAGGCGTGAGTCACCACTGTCGAAGAGACAGGTTTTAGATACTGTGAAAGTTGTCCACATTCCTGGATTAAACTCCCAAATGTCACCCCACTGGCTGAGGGATGAACTGAGACACTGCCTGTATTGATTCGACCCACTACGATGTCTGCCCCTCCCTCGTAAGAAAAATGTGATGATTCATTTTCAAGGGTGCCTTGAGCCAACTGAGGCCCAGTGCAAACTGAACAGAAAATGCTGGCCCTCTGCTAGTCTAAATACCCCTACCCAAATGCAGCTAAGCTATGCCCCCATCCATACTAGAAGGTTAGAGAAAAAATACTCATAGCCAAGCTTGCCTGCACCCATCTGATACACCTTAGAATAAACAGGGCATAAAACAGATGAAGCCATGCAAAGTTTTTGTTGAGAAAAAGTCAAATGTAAAGGAGAGGAGGACAGATGAGACCTTGATGGCCCGAGAGACTGTGCCCTCCTGATTATTCACAGGGAGGAAGGGTCAAGCTTAGGGTTTATAAACACACTCACGAGGTGAGCCTGCCATTCTGGGCTGATGCCTTGTAAGGTCATCAAATAAATTGATTTGCTTTTGCTGTTCTGAGTTTGCAGTACTCTTACTATGAAGTGACATCCTTTGTTTTTCACATATGCTCATGCTTTGGCGGTTCCAGCCTGTTGGACTGTCCATGGTTGAGGAGAACTGTCACATGGCTCCCACAGACTAAGCATGGAATGCCCCTCCTCCTGAAGACAGCCCCTGCCTTCTGCAGAGAAACCCAGCTGAAGGGTCACGCTGAGGCTGACCCTCCCTCAAGCATCCCTGCATGGTGTGACAGGGGCTCCCCACAAGGCCTCATACTGCTCATGTGCTGGGACCCAGCCCAGGCCTCTTCTCTGGGGCCCCGGCTCCCAGTTTCCAGTTTGCTTCAGAAATGGCTGAATGAGTGCACAAATTAGTGCAAGAACAAACGAATGGCCAGAGCTCACGGTAACATGGAAAGCCAGCTTTAGTCACTTCTAGTGGGCTGTCTCTGTGTCCTCCGAGAGGGGCCCTCCACAGCCAGATCCCAAGTCTCTTTCAGGATAAGGACAAGTTACTTTTGGTCCCTCAAACTACCTCTTTATACTCGCCCCTGCACTCAGACCCCGTCACTTTAATAGGGGGAGCCCAGGTCGGGGGTCCACAGACTGGCTTTGGGTCCCTGTTCCACTGCTGATCCTGGGCAAGTCTTCCCCTGGGCCTCAGTTTCCTCATCTGTCTACTGACGAGTGCACCCATCCCCGCCTGCCTAGGTGCTGTGAAGCTACAAGGTATGCAGGGAGATGGTTCACTCCGGCTTCAGGATCAAAATATAAGCCACAGGTGAGCGTGGGGTGAAGCAGGCCAAGGATGAAGGCCCCGCATTGTGGACCACAAGCCTCCAGGAGACGGGGGAACTAGAAGGTCCCATGTGATCAGCTGGGGCTGCTGGTGAGTTGAGCAGAACGCTACGGCCTTTGAGCTCAGCAGTTCTGCCTTAGGCACCAAATGGATGGTAAAAATGTGCACTTTGTCTTCCATCCGTGGGCGCCAAACTCCTCTGCTTGGCATTTAAGCCACACGTTTATTTATCTGTCTCTCCAAATGTGACAAGATTGGAACCTTCGGGCCTGCCCTGGAGCCAAGGAGCATATTTCCTCTGTGTGGTTCCATTGATGGGCCTAAAATGATGGAGGCAGACTCATCTCATCTCTGTTAGAAGCTGTCTAACGTGACAGCGAGCTCCTTGTCATTGGAGCTGAGACACTGGATTAGAGGAAAGGTAATTCCTATTTAGAGACAATGGGGAGAAGTTGCTGGAGGATGTCGAAGGTTCCTTCCTGCCCTTGTGGTCTAGGGTTTGATGCTCTGATGAAGGGCCTGGTGGCAGCTTCCAGGCTGCGGAGGGAGGCTCACTCAGGGTCCAGGACAGGCGTACTCATCTGACCAATCAGAGCAGTGCTGCACATGGTCCCGGCACAGCACCCTCGGGATACAGCTGCAGTACTTGAAGACAGTTGGAGTGCAGGGCCACCACCCGGGGCCACAAGGCGGGCACGCAGTCACTGGGGAGACAGAGCCAGGGGAAGAAGCAATGACTGGTCCTGGGCACTCTAGCTCTGCAACATGCCATACCTCCTGTGGTATAGGGTGACTATGCTCCTGGTTTCCCTGCAGCAGGGAGAATTGAACCCCACAATTCACCCATCTAAGCCTCGGTTTCCATCTGCTCAATTGTTGAGTAAAAGAAACAAGGCAGAAGCCGTGCGGTAGTGGCGCATGCCTTTAAGCCTTTAACCCCAGCACTTGGGAGGCAGAGGCAGGTGGATCTCTGTGAGTTCTAAGCCAGCCTGGTCTACAAGAGCGAGTTCCAGGATAGGCTCCAAAGCTACACAGAGAAACCCTGTCTCAAAAACAAAAACAAAACTAAACCAGGCAGAGCTTGGACATTAATGAATGTGTGAGCTTGGACATTAATGAATTGTGAGCTTGGACATTAATGAATGTGTAAACACCAACTCACCCAGCTCAGCCTCCTGCTTCGCTCTGACTCCTGCCATAGGCGTCCCTCACATGTGCTGGGGTGTCTCATCTCCTGTCCCCTGTCCTGTGCTCATGGCTCCAGCATTCCCGTTTACACACCCGCCCTGACGGCTCTGCCCCTCCCTTCTGCCCACATATGAACTGTGGCCTCCAGTCCTGCCCTGCCCTCCTCACAGAAGGCTCAGATCCAGGAAACTAGGGTGTCTTTGCTCAGTCTCCCCTCTGTGCCCTGGTGTCCGGTCAGCACCCCGGAGGCACCCAGAGGTGTTCAAGTGGGAGTGGAAAACCTCTTCCCAGGTGCGGGGAAAGCGTGCAGGGGACTCAGAGCATCCTGCTCAGCTTCTGGCCCTGGCCACTGCCTGTTCCTGCTCATCTGTGCCCAGACCCCCACCTGGGCTCAGTTCATCCGAGCAGTCCCCACAGTTGTTGGTGCCATCACATTTCTGGTCCGAGTAGATCCAGAAGGCTGGGTCTCCACAGTAGGCCAGGAGGAAGCCGGGAAGGCTCCGGGGCACATCTCCTAGAGACAGACAAATGGGCAGGACAAAATTCACCTGTGACCACAGTACCTGGGCCACCTGCAGCTGTCCAACCTGGCAGTCAGTGCACTTAGGTCTCCCCATCTGGTCTTCCAGGAGGGAGGTCAGGTCCAAGGAGTGGGGTGTCTTGCTCTGTGCACCTCTCGCTGGGTGGCAAGAGCCCCGAGAGCACCTTCATTCCCTACCCAGCCCTGTGAGTTCCCACCCTCAGCACTGCGTGTACCACCATGCAGAAGTCCTCCTGCCACCCCTGCTAGTCCTCCCACCTTCAATCCAGGGTCAAGTTCTGTTCCACCAGCCTCTCTCATCAGGACGCAGCAGGTAGAACCCAGATTCCTTACACGTAGGCCCCTGTGTTCTAAAGTAGCTTCCATGTCAGGTAGTGTACAGGGTGACCCAAATTCACACAAACCCAGGCCAGTCTCATGTAGTGAACACCCCATCCTAGTATTTAAGCAGAGGCCGGGGAGTCTCTGTTGGGCTTGTTGGAGCGGCATTTGGAACAGGAGCTGGAGTGTGGACCAGGTGAGCTTTTTGTTGTCATTGAGACAGGGTCACATGTGGCCCAGGCTGCCCTAAAACTTGCAGTGTAGCCAAGGATGACCTTGAACTCCTGATCCTTCTTCATCCACCTTCCAAGTGATGAGATTACAGTGTGCACCACCACTCTTGGATTTGTGCTAAATGATTCTCTAAAGTTCCAACCCCTGCCTCCAGGTCATAGCTCTCTGCCTGCCGCCGGTCTCCCCACTCATTCACGTTTTCATGTGTATCCACGCAGCAAGGCTCCTCTCCTAAAAACAGGTGTTTACGGCATGGGGCCTTCCAATTCATTCATTCACTTGCTCATTGATTCAGCAAGTCATTCTGCATACCCTTATCCCAGAACCAGAGCAGACTGCCACCAAGGCATTCACAGGCTGATGGGGGTGGCAGATGTGATGCCAGTGTGACTAGGGACAAGACACATGGAGGCAAGGGTCTGTAGGAGCCTAAAGAACTGTTGACCTCCAGCAGAAGTCAGGGAAGGCTTCCAGGAAGAGGTAGCATGCGAACTTTGCCTTGAAGGGTGGCCACAGATTCTGAGGAGTAGAGATAACAATGAAAGATCCCCCAGTGCATAGCAGAAGGTCTTGGCTAAGGCACCATGTCACCATAGGCATGGGGACATTGAGGCGGTGCCTAAGAATGTTCCGCAGGGCTGTGTGGAGAGTTAAGGTGGCTGTGGGGGATGAACAGGGACATGGAACTGAGCAGGTACTCACGGCACAAGTGTTCATCCTCATCCTCACCATGGGGACAGGCGCGAACGCCATCACACACCCCGTGCGCTGGGATGCAGTGCCTTCGGTCATGGCATAAGAAGCCTGTCCTGTTGGTCATTGTCACACAGGACTGAGTCCCTGTAGGAGCAAGACAGGCCCCAGAATGAAGGTGGTACTCATAAAGATGGCCTTGAGATGTGCAAGGTGGACACACAGGGTCCCCCTGGAGGGCCTGGGGCAGCGGTGAGGCCCTAAACTCCATGGCATCTGTGGGGTTGAAGCTGCCACTGCTACTTCATAGCAGACACAGGTAACCTGGCCCCTCCAGCCTAGGTCCTTTGTCTATGAAATAGAGGTCAGTGCCTAGCCCCAGGGGTATGTGGAATGTCAGGGACAGCATGATAGTTCCAGACACTGTGGATCATAAGGTGTGCAGAGTAGGTCACTGGTTTGGTCACACAGGAAGCATTGAGGGCAGTGTGCCATCATTCGCATGGCTTTAATGATGGATCTCCTGGAACCAGTTTAGCTTGTTGCAAATTGTACATTTGTGCTGTCTGGGGACAGAATGTCACAATCCCTTCCATCTGGGTATACCTTAAGAGTCTGCAAACTTCCATGTTTTTATTGTTTCTCCAAGTACTCCTGAGAAATGGTATGCTTAAACCCTGCCAGAGGAAGAGAGACAGCCACCGCTAGAGGTAGCCCCAAGATTTAAAGGAGAAACTCAGGAGATGGAAGTCATAGGCTATGCCTGTGGGCACATGTATGAATGTGGGACAGGAAACAGCAGGCCTGTCGGCACATCTGTGCCAGCATGAGTCACGTCTCAGTTCCCAGAGCCACCTCCGCTAGTCATAGGAAGCACCCTCAGGGACACACACGGTCACAGATGTAGACAGGAAAGTGAACACATTCACATGCACACACCTGCACCTTCATGCCCATGCATAAAGACAACAGATGCGCAGACAGACATGTACACACACACTGACACACATACACAGATACACTGACATGCACACTAATGTGCGCATAGGCAGCAGGAACCTGCACACATACGGGTGTTGTGGAATATTGAAGATGTGTTACGTTTGTTTATGCTGAGAAATATTTGTTTAATGATGCAAAGATGTGTTGTATTCTTTTATGTTGCATTTGTTTAACTCTGTGAAGCTGTGGAACTTTGCCTTTCTAAAACACTTGATTGGTCTAATAAAGAGCTGAATGGTCAACAGCTAGGCAGGAGAGAGAAACAGGTGGGGCTGGCAGGCAGAGAGAATAAATAGGAGGAGAAGGAAGAGGGAGGATCAAGAAAAGGAGGAGATAGCATGCCAGGGGCCAGTCATCCAGTCACACAGCCAGCTACAGAGTAAGAAGTAAAGAAAGAGTATAGAATAGAGAAAGATAAAAGCCCAGAGGCAAAAGGTAGATGGGATAATTTAAGAAAAAATTGGTTAGAAACAAGTCAAACTAAGGCTGGGCACTCATAACAAAGAATAATTCTCCATGTATTTATTTGGGAGCTGGGTGGCAGGCCCCTAAAGAGAAAAAAACAACAACAACAAAACCCCAACAACATATGGGCATTCACACGCACACGTGCACACAGGCAAGCAGGCAGGCAGGCAGGCACCTGCACACATACAGACATTCACACACACATGCACACAGGCAGGCAGGCACCTGTACACATACAGACATTCACACACACATGCATGGAGGCAGGCAGGCAGGCACCTGCACACATACAGACATTCACACACACATGCATGGAGGCAGGCAGGCAGGCACCTGCACACATACAGACATTCACACACACATGCACACAAGCAGGCAGGCACCTGCACACATACAGACATTCGCACACACATGCATGGAGGCAGGCACCTGTACACATACATACAGACATTCACACACACATGCATGGAGGCAGGCACCTGTACACATACAGACATTCACACACACATGCACACAAGCAGGCAGGTACCTGTACACATACAGACATTCACACACACATGCATGGAGGCAGGCAGGCAGGCACCTGCACACATACAGACATTCACACACACATGTACACAAGCAGGCAGGCACCTGCACACATACAGACATTCGCACACACATGCACACAAGCAGGCAGGCACCTGCACACATACAGACATTCGCACACACATGCACACAAGCAGGCAGGCACCTGCACACATACAGACATTCACACACACATGCATGGAGGCAGGCACCTGCACACATACAGACATTCACACACACATGCACACAGGCAAGCAGGCAGGCACCTGCACACATACAGACACTCACACACACATGCACACAAGCAGGCAGGCACCTGTACACATACATACAGACATTCACACACACACATGCACACAAGCAGGCAGGCACCTGCACACATACAGACATTCACACACACATGCATGGAGGCAGGCACCTGCATACATACAGACATTCACACACACATGCACACAAGCAGGCAGGCACCTGTACACATACAGACATTCACACACACATGCACACAAGCAGGCAGGCACCTGCATAATACAGACATTCACACACACATGCACACAGGCATCCAGGTATCTGGCTGTCCACGGGTACTTGCACACAAATGAACAGTCAGGCATCTGCATGCACACAGGCACTGGCACACATGTGCACACGGGCATGCACACACGCTTGCACATACAGGCCCATGGCTACAGTTCCACACTGTCAGGGTGGAATACTGTGATTTCATCCTTCCTCCTCATCCCTTACAGTGGCCCTGCCTGACTGTGGAGCCATCTCTCACAAAGCAAGGAAGAAGGGTGGGACAGTCCCTTCCCTTGGCTCTTGGGACACGGCCACCTCCCAAGTGCAGCTTTTCAGGTCCTGGGCACCTGGCCCCGTCCACTCACATCCACCTGGCTTCTTCTCTCACGTTTTCCACCGCAGGACTCCACACATGCTGTTCCCTGTGCCTGGGATGCTGTCCCTGACACTCTCTCGTAACTAATCTCCACTTTCCCTTCCCACCTCACGTCTCTTTCACTCCACAAGGTGCTGCCTCCCTGACTACCCCGCACTGATCCGATGAGAGCCTCGGTTCCGGACTCCTGATGCCCCATTAGACGTGCCCTTGAGTGTTTATTGGATCAAGCCCATGTGGTTCTCTGAACTACCCCCTGAGGGTGGGGGCTGCTTGGGGGGTTCACCACTGCAGCCAGACCACAGGGACGTTCTGGACACAGCCTGGTCTGTGGTTGAGAGTACCACCCAGGTGGTCAGGTGAGGAAATTGAAGTGCACTAGCTGGTTGGGGAGGCTGAGGAAGCTCCTGGCCCCCCTCAGGGTCAGAGAGAATTTCTTAGACGAAGTAACAGCAAAACCATGACCTCTCAGGAGTGCATGTTGGGGCTGCGGAGATGGTTCGGTGGTTAAGAGCACTTGTTGCTCTTCCAGAGAACCTGGGTTCAATTCCCAGCACCCACCTGAGGTTCACAACCATCTGTAACTACAATGCCAGGTGTCTGACATCGTCTTCTGTGCTCCCTGGCCACCAGGTACACATGTGGTGCAGACATATATGCAGACAGAACACCAGTATACGAGCTGGAGAGATGGCTCAGAGGTTAAGAGCACTGACTGCTCTTCCAGGGGTCCTGAGTTCGATTCCCAGCAACCACATAGTCGCTCACAACCATCTACAATTCAACAGTGTATATGTAATAAATAAATAAATCTTAAAAACAAACATATTAAAAAAGAACACCAGTATACATAAAAATAAACTTTAAAAGAAAAATTTTAAAATGATGCATGTCAAGGATGTGCTGACGGCCTCCCAGTCTCGTGTCCATACACGCACAGGGATCTGTGTTTGCACCATGAGGACCCACTCAAGCCACTTCAGAGAGAAGCCCGGCAATGCTAGGGCTCCCATCTCCCCGAGCCACCAGGCCTCCCTCTTACCACCCTGACCTGGTATACGGGGTGGACGTCCGAGGATGGTGGCCACGGCAAGCAAGGCGGCAAGGATGGCCAGCAGCAGCAGCAGGAAGGCCGAGAGGCAGGCCCCCCTGCGTGAGTAGCAGAAGGGGCCACAGCCTGTGGAGGGGAGATAATGATAGGTGCAGGGATCCCCTGGATCCCACCCAGCCCTGCAGGCAGCCCTCCCTTCTCAGAGAGCACTAGGGGCTAGAATAAGCACTCCTAAGCCCGTGACAAACTCTCTGGTCCTGCCTGTCCGCCACCATCACCAAGCGCCATTGCTGGCTAGCCTTTGCTCCGCAGAGGCTGTCTACCCTTCCTGTCCTTCCTGGTCTATCCTCATGAGAGTAGGACAGTAGACATCTATGTACCCAGCCTGTACCAAGAAAGGACCATTATCCCTATTTTTCACAAAAAGTCCTTTATTTCTGTGGATGACAAACTGGGAGTCAAAGAATCAAATGCCCCAGTCACCCTGTACAGGGCTGAGTCATGACAACCGTTTGACGTCCAACCCAGACCTTACCCTCAATGCCAACCTAAAATCTGTTTTAGTGCCCTCCGGAATGCTGCCTGGAGTCCAGCTCTGTCAGTTCCTAGCTGGGCCGCACAGTGAGACACTTCACTTCTCTGTGCTTCAGCGGTGCCGTGATGGTTAGCGCGGTTTGCTGGGGGCTGGTTTGTTGAATGCTTACTCTAAACAGCAGGTGCTACTTTGAGCTAAGTATTCGCTATGCATCTAGCATGTGTCAAGCTCTTGTCTAGGCATTGTAGGAACAGCAGTAATGGGAGTAGCTGGCAGATGCCACCATACTCTAGAATTGTGCTTGGTTTCTTCCCTAATTCCCTTTTTTTTTTCAAGACATGGTCTCACTATATAGCTCTAGTTGTCTTGGAACTTACTATGTAGACCAGGCTAGCCTCGAACTTGGATATCTGTCTGCCTTCACCTCTCAAGAGCTGGAATTAATGACGTACACCACTATGCCTGGCTTCACTCCCCTAAAGCAGCTTTATTAGGGACCTTCTGGATGCCTTGCTCTGTAAAAGGCATGAACGTGGCTTTCCTTGCTGTCAGAGAGCTCGCGGCTACACCTGGAGAGCCAGACACCATAGGAAGGAGGGTGGAGACTCCGTCCCCTGTGCTAGGCCAGCTCTCACTGGTGCTGTGTGTGTGCAAACCAGAGACACAGAAGACAAGGCAAGGATCCTGATTTGGGTCACCTGCCAGCAAGATCTGAGCCTGTGGTGTCAAATGAAAGGGTGACTGAGGAAGTGTGGACGGGGAGGGCCGAGGAGCTTCAGGCGATGCAGCAGTCTCAGGAAAACCAGCTGGTTTATAAGGTGGGGCAGGGCAGCGGCCTCAAAGAACAGGCTTTCCAGGCAGAGGGTATGGGAGGAGAGGCATGCTGGGTGGCTAGCGAGGATAAAGGCATGAGGGAGTGAGTCCGTAAAGGAGACAACAGCAGGCCGGTGGGAAGCACGCTGGTCATCCAAAGCCTACAACCCCCAGCCCTAGTTGGTGGCTCCTTTGTGGTCAGCAAGGACAGGGTAAACTTGGGTCACCAGGGAGACTGTGTTGAAACTGGGCAGGAGAGACTTCTGGCCAGCCAAGTGGTGCTCCTCAAATATTTGTGTTCGAGGCGGGGCTGCAGAACACTGGGGCACAGGCAGAGCTCTTGCCCAGGTGGAGATGCCCACTTTACAGCCAGAAACTCCTTAGCTGCTGCCCACCCGGGACAAAGGAAGAAAAGTCACACCTACTGCCACCCACACCGAATGACAGCTTGGAAATAGCCACCAGCATGGAGCAAGGACAGCCCCAAGGCTTAGCAGCTTCCTTTTCAATGCTGAATTACCTTGACCTAATTACCTAACTTCTTAGTTTCGTTGCCTCTAGTACCCAACTCATCCAGGGCTGTCCTGAAACTAAGGTCTGCAATTCCAGGCATCTGAGGCAGATCCTTCAGTCATTCTTGGCAGCTACCCTTTTCCTCCTTGCTCAGCAGAGGACCAAGATGGGGCCCAGGGAGACATTCAGTATGTATGAACTCCTTCCTTGTCTCATGAAGGTCCCGGCCGCACAGAAGTAGGGGAAACACAATATGTACAAGTGTGTGGTCCTAACTCACTCTACCCTAAGATCTACAGAACCACCCAGATCAAGCCTGGGGTCTAGAAGTTGATTCGGAGGTCCTTGGCGTTACAGGCTCAGGGTGGTGACCTACAAGGTAAAAAGCACATAGTAGCCTCTCAGAAGATGCTGGTAGCTGGAGAGAATGAACAGTTCTATCCAGCAAGTGGCTGTCTGTATGGCTGGGCAGGAAGCTGGGCAGACAACATCACCATGTGCATTGGGACAGAGGGGCCATAGCAGTAGCCTTGGACTCTCTGTGCCGGGCTTCAGGGTAGTTCTTACCTTCCCCTCCAGGGCGGGCTCTCCCTCCAGCAGCAGTGTTGCTCTCCGCATCTCCCTGCCCAAGAGACCAGAAGCAGACCGGGCAAACGGCTGATCCCGCACCACCCGGACTCATCCTGTTCCCACACTCTTCACCTGTTTAGTGGGTGGCTTCTTCCCGGCACCTGCTCCTCCTTTGTCCTTCTATTGACCCAGGCAGGGCCTCCTAGTGACAATGCCCTTATGCCTATTACCCTCACTTGGAGTGAGTCCCCAGGGCAGATGATTGTGGCCATAGGTGCTAGGGTGCCCCCTCCCCAGAGCCCTTTCCACCCAAGGCTGCCCCCCCAGGTCATGAACCAGTTCAGGCTCAGGCAGCTTTTACCTGGGGGAAGATCTTGTTCATGGCTCCCAACTCATGTCCAGAAGCTGGGGAAGAGTAAAGAGAGCTCAGTGTGGGTCCTCTGCCTTGTCACCAAGGGCAGCCTGGGGGAGGGAGGGACAGCAAAAGGCTTTGCCAAGGCTGTTCCCTCCCCTGTGACACTCCCATCCCAGCTGCCTCCATGGTGGCAAAGGAAGCGGCGGGGGTACCTTCCCCTACCAAGCCTTTCCCTAGGTTGCAGTTGGTCAGTGACAACCTGGGATTGGAATCCTCATCCCTTTCCACAGATGACTAGCTGGCGTTTCTGAAAGGGAGAAAGTGCCTTACTGTAAGTGGGAGACACCAGCCAGGCCTAGCCCATTTTTCATCTCTGTACCAACAGACTGCAGGAGTGCAGGCCCCAGCTACAGGAAGCCACGGGCACAAGTGCCATGAGTCTAGGTCTGGTGGCCAGAAGACAGAGTCCCTTTTCTCACCGATGATCTGTTCAACACCTAGGTGGTCTAGATCGGAATGTGCATTTCTGAAGGCCAGCAGGATGGCTTGCTGGGTAAAGGCGTTTGCCGTGCAAACACTTGGTTCAAGTCCCAGAATGAACGCGAGGGTGCAAGGAGACAACCGACTCCACAAACTTTCCTGACCTCCCCACATGTGCTAAGCAGACTAGCACATACATGCACACATTAATCAACAAAAAATTATTCATTTCCCACTAAAGCTAAAATGTAACTAGACTCGTGGATTGCTAAAAGCATGGAGATACACATTTTTAACTTTCTGGATGCTTGTGCCTGGGTGGGAGCTAGCTGTTTTCCAGACTGTCTTCCACCCCAGCAGGGGGCAGATTCCTCAGCAATCTAGTCCACAGAGGAGACTAAGACCCTGGAAGCAGGAGGGACTGCTCTGGGGTCCACACAAAGGGTGTTACCCACCTCCGGATGTTCAGGAGTTTCCTGAACTGGGCTGCTTCTCTTGCAGTGGAAAATAAATGTCAAAGCAGGAGACTGGGGGGGCTAGGCATGGGTTCTCACAAGGGCCTTGCCAATGATGTGGGAAAGTCTCCTCCTTTCACACCCATGGAAATGCAGGGGTGCTGGAGAGGGTGTTCCTCAGAGTTGGGTCCTCTGACAAGAACAGAGAGTGGGTTTCAGTGGGAAGGACCCTGACCATGCGGCTGGAGAGTGGGGAAAGCTCCGCCCACTGTCATGGGCCAGCATCTGGATTCTGTGAGGCATTCAGGGACGCTGGTGACAATGCACCTCTAAGGCTCACTCACCTGAGGGAACAGGACACTTACCCCATCCTGCCAGCCACTGACTGAAGCTGTTGCCAACTGTCTATCCCTGGCTCCACTGGCCTGCGTTAGGCAAATGGAAGCCAATGGCAGCTGTGAGCCAGGCTGATAAGCCATGAAAGGGAAAAGGCTGAAGGGGATGGAAATAAGCACAAGATACTCACCTAGATTTATTTATTTTTTCCTGCCACCTGGAGTCAACTAGTAGAGGCTATGTGGAACATGATTTCAGAAGGATGTTGAGTCAGGTTCTGTGATTGGTTAGTAATGTCTGCCATGGATGTCACAGTGGAGAATAGAGTACATTCCTGGACCAACACATGCCCTTTAGTCTCTGGCTTCCATGGACTCCTGATTCTTCAGAGTGCCTTTATATTTATTTATTGCTGCTACTCTTGTTTTTTTAGTATAGCCCAGGATGGTTTCAAATTCATGGTAATCCTCCTGCCTCAGCCTCCCATACTTGGTGACAGGCATGAATTATCACATCAGCTTTGGTGTTCCTTTGTAGGAACACTCCTCATGTTGTTCAATGCGTCTTCCTTGGGACTCCTTCTTCAGTGCAGGTATGACCATGCTAGGCTGGAAGAATCACATCTCTCCAGGGCTCTGCTGGGACCAGGAACCCTTGACAGAAGGGCAGCAGGGGTCCTACACATCATTTCAGTATACATTCATGTACACATGCCCCTAGAGTCCCACTGTTGGCAGTTACGACATCTTGAGCACTGTCAAGCTGCTCTTCAAGGTGCCGTGCCAGTCTGCACTGGGCAAACAGTATGTAAGAGACCCTTTCCTCAGCCCTTGAAATCTCCAGGTCTTCCAACATCTGCATGCAGGTCTGGTTCGTGTGACACTATAATGGTTTTACTATTCTTCTCACTGCTCCAATGGTATCATTTACTTTCACCACCTGCCGTGCAGCACGCTTTAAGTGTACCCATCTTGTCTTCTCCATCATAGGAGACAGGCCATCCATCTCCATTTTTCGGATTAGAAAACTGAGGTCTAGAAGCATTATGCGATTTGCCCAAGGCTCTCATCTGCAAGGGCAGAGCTAGGATTGCAACCTGCAGACCCAACTCACTTCAGCTCACAGACTGCTGGTCCTACCTCCACCGTTGACCCTATTAAACATGCAGTGTCGTGAGGATTTTCTGCTCTGGTGGATAGCTTGTTTATGCAGGCTGCTCATAAGTGATTTTTTTTTCTTATTGACTTACGGGTCTATTTTGTGGAACATACATTTATTGGAGGCTCTACCATACATGATGACAGCATCATTTGACAACAGCATGATTACACAGGAAGTAAAAGGCAGGCTCTGCCCACAGCTGGGGTCCAGAGGCAGTGGCGTGCAGTCTTGTCACAGGTCTGTTGGGATGGGCTGGCTGCCAGCCTGGAAAAGTGACTCAAGCAGGTTGAGTCGAAAAGGGCCAGTAGAATGAGACGCCCTGCTTTACCCCAGGGCAAGCAGGCTATCTCAGATAGCTGGTCCCAAAGAGCAGCTCATCCACGGCCAGGGAAAACTATGAAAGCTGAACCCTAGGCCCAGTTCAGAGACATCATAGAAATAGTTGCTGAAGACCTCCACACTGTTGCTATTGGCCCCTGGGGAGGCCAGGAGGGTAACATGGATACCCATGCTGCTGCAGTGGTTAGGGCAGGGGCCGGTGTACAGGTAGATGGATGATCTTCTGTAACGTGATAATCTTAGAACTGCTGCCAATCTGCTGGTCCTATGGCAACCAGGCAGCTACTGCTCTGGCTGTGGATTCCCCCACCACTCCCCTCCCTCCTCCTTTTTGACTTACTTGTGTGTGTGTGTGTGTGTGTGTGTGTGTGTGTGTGTGTGTGTGTGTGTGTGTGTGTGTGTGTGCGCGCGCGCGCGTGCGTGCGTGCGCCGCACTTGCCTTGGAAGTACAGGTTGCCATGAAACGCCTAACATGGGTGTTGGGAACTGAATGTCCTCCGCAATAGCAACAGGTGCTTTTAACCAACGACCATCTCTCCAGCCCCTTTGTTCTTTTTTATTATTTATTATCATATGTGCATGAGTGTTTTGTCTGCATGTATGTTTGCCTGTGTACCATGTGTATGCCTGGTGCCGGCAAAGGCCAGAAGAGGGTTCTTTTTTGGAGGTGGGGGAATCACCTTGAACTCACAGTGATCACCTGCGTCAGCTCCCTTAAGGTGGAGTAACACACATGAGTCACCAAGCCTGATCTAAACAGCCTATACCTGGTCGCTTGCTTGAAGCATTCTCCAGGTTCCAGGCTCCCTCTACCTTTTTAAATCTATCTTCTGGGTTCTGAGCATCTCCATCTGTTTCCAGTCACAGAGAGATGTGCTTGAGAGCTGGGGCTGTCTGGGAAAATGGCCCAAGCCCTATGTCAGCATTCCCTGTTCCCCGGGATGCTTTCACACCCTGGATTGCAGCAGTTCGTCTCTCCTGAGACTGCACTGTCAAGTGTAAGACAGAGAGGTTCATCTCGTCCATCTGCTTTCCTTACAGGGATGTCGGAAGGCTTCCTCAGCTGCCAAACAGCTCGGCTGGGAGGGCTATGGGTTCCCGTAGGTAGGTACTAGATGGCTATAAGGGATGTCAACAAACAAACCCTCCTGTGAATCACCTAATTAGATACTTGCTTAATTCAGATGTTGCAAATTTTCTTAAAGTCCATACATCCGAGATTATGAACTCAGGAGGCATGGTGCTCCAGGAAAATCCTCTCCAATCAGTTGCTGATTCCGGTCTACCCATCCTCAGTTACTGCTAACACTGCAAACTGTCCAGATCCAGAAAGCACACACAGAAGCAGTAAGTCGACCCAATAATCTGAACTGAGCAAGCAAACAGAAACAACTTACTCTTAACATGTCAAAGAAAACTCAGACAACCCCTCAATCAGGGGTTAGGTGAACTTAGTTGGGGGAAAGCTAACTCAGTGTTCACTAGATTTAAACTGAAGACTAGCAGGCCTCAATCAGGGGTTAGGTGAACTTAGTTGGGGAAAAGCTAACTCAGTGTTCACTAGATTTAAACTGAAGACTAGCAGGCCTGTGACATCATCACCAGTAGAGCCGGCAGTGCTGTAGATATTTTAAACATTACTTAGAAAAACAAAACAAAACACTTTGAGATCACAGAAGTGTTACAGCTACCTTTTGATGTTATTCTGTATGAATGGAAGTATACACATTACCACATCAAAGTCTTGAAAATATTTTGATAAGCATTTAAGTTTCCTTGTAATCCTTCCTATTTGGTTTTATGCATCTGAAAACATAATTCTGAGAGGGGTTTCCATAGACTTCATAAGATCTCCAAAAAGGTCTGTGGCACAGAAGAAGGTTAGGAACGCCTGTTCCGGGGGACTGGGCAGATGGCTCAGCAGGTAACGTGCATGAGGATCTGCAGTGAGTGGTGCCTGTAGTTACCGTGCTGGGAGGCAAAGAGAGGAAGATTTCAGGGACTTGGCCAGCCAGTTTAGCCAAGTTATTGTGCTCCGGTTTCACCGAGAGACCCTGTAACCTCTGCCCTCCACACATGGATAAGTGGGGGAGTACATACACACATACATATGCACTCCCAAACAAACAAACAAACAAACAAACAAACAATCCCTGTTCTAAACAAGTCAGTCACTAACAGCACAGGAAGGGCACTTAGCAGAGAAACACATGAAAATGGCTTTGATAATTAGGAATTTCAAGTAAGGTAGGAACTATGCCTCAGAAGTCACTATTACACAGTGTCAGAAGCCATACTAACTACAGGTCAGCTTTCCACAGACGACACACAGTTCCCAGTGCCTCAGCCTTTATCACAGGCCATACCTCAGCCCAGACTAATGTAGAACAAATAGTCAAGGAAAGATTAAAAAGTAATCGGAGCTGATGATACTCAAATAGGACAACAGGACACTTAGCAACCAGAAGCCTGGAGGAGGGACAGCTGAGGGCAGCCGGCTCTGTGGCTGGGAAACTCAGCCCAGCAGGAAGCCGTTTCACGGCTGGCTGTGCTTCAGTCTTCTGTTTGTCTGGCACCACCTGGAGCAGTGGCTCTCACCCTTCCCGCTGCTGTCACCCTCCAGTACAGTTCCTTGTGGTGACCCCAACCGTAACATTATCTCACTGCTACTTTGTAACTGTAACTTCGTTACTGTTATGAATCATAGTATAAGTATCTGATATGCAGGATATCTGATATTTACTCCCAAAGGGGTCTCCACCCACAGACTGAGAACCACTGACTTAGACTGTGACCACCATACAGGGTCCTAGGCTTCCAACAACATCAAGGGGAACAATGGCTAAAAAATGTAAGAGAACAGGATTATAGGTCAGCCAATTAATAAAAAGAAGTGTGGAATAAGGTACATAGCCAGAGGCTGAGGCAAGAGAGATCAGGCTCAAGACTAAACTGAGCTGCATCGTGAGACTGCCTCAGAAAACCAAGGGCTAGGATATAGTTCTGAGGTAGAACACCCACCTAATATGAGCAAGGCCCTGGGTTGTCCACTGTACAAACCAACAAGGGGCTAAGGTATCGATGCCTCTGCATTTGCTCCTATCCCCAGGCTACTCCACACAGCTGTCTCATTCTGTGAACCGTTCTTCATTGAGACCCTGTGGCTTACCTCTCTGCAATGACTCTCCACTATGCTCGGGAGGAAGGCTTAAGGAGGTCTTTCATTATTCACAGCTACGGCATGCATGAAGAACCTGCACTCTCGGCTTCTTGTCTCCCAGCTTAAGCACATCGAACCCACTGCTTGGAACACTGTTCCCAGTATCTTTCCTAGCCTCCCCATTTCCCTGCAGGTTGAGCTGGGCCACCACTTCCTCCCAGGATTAGGGATTCCCCCATGTGCTCTCACAGTTCTCCAGACTTATCCAGGTTCAGACATGACATGCCCCCACAAAAAGCTCATGTAATGGGACCTGGCTCACGGCCTCCTGACTTCCAAATCTAGACAGATTGTCTTAAAAATATAAAGCTACATTCTGTGACCAAAGTCTTACCTGCTTAGCTGTCAACCGTATTTTCTTTTGATTTAGAGACCCTGACAATTCAGCCAGAGTGAGAGTGAGGCCCCCTAGAGAAAGATGGCACTACTGCAGCCTCCACCCCAGCTCTGAGATCAGGGACTCTGGTTAGCCAAGGCGTCTAACACTTCCTGGTGTGATGACACAGAGCCACACTAAGATTTGGTGTATGATGGTATCTGATAGTGCCCTTATTTTCAATCTCCATTACTAGGGACTGGAGAGCGGACTCAGCAGTTAGGAGCACTGGCTGCTCTGCTAGAGGACTGGAGATTTTGTCCCAGCGCCCACATGGTAGCTCACACGGCACATCTGTAAATCCAGTTCTGAGGGACCTGATATTCTCCTCTCACTTCTGTGGCCAGCAGACACAGATGTCTGCACATATATACAGGCAAAACACCTATCTACATAAAATCAATATCTAAAAAAGTAAAAAATCTCCATCACTGTTGGTAAAGGAAGGGTAATAATGTTAAGATTCTACCAAGCCAATATATACTTAATCCTATATCACAAGAGAATACTTTTTACTGTTAAAATGTCATTTTCTCTAAAAATATCTTGATGCTATTTTAAAGAAGACAAACAATTCCTTTGAAAAAAATTTTTTCAACTCTAACCTGTGCAAATCCCACATCAAATGGAACCTCAGAAGAGACTGCTGAGGCGGCCATAGTACTAGCGGTGCAAGTCCAACAACTGTGTGTCCTGTGAGTTCCTAGGGCTTACACAGAAAAGCTGAACAGGCTGGAAGCTCTCAAGCTAGCCTGTTTGGGTACACAGTGCAACAGCAGAAATACAAGGAGCGCACCGGCCTCAACCCGATAAGGAAGAGAACTGACTCCCGAACGCTGTCCTGTGGCACGCAAATGTCCCCCATGCCCACCACACACACACACTTTAAAAATCACATCAAAGCTGGGTGTTGGTGGTGCACACCTTTAATCCCAGCACTCGGGAGGCAGAGGCAGGTGGATCTCTGTGAGTTCGAGGCCAGCCTGGTCTACAAAGGGAGTTCCAGGACAGCCTCCAAGACAATACAGAGAAACCCTGTCTCGAAAAAACAAAAACAAAAACAAAACAACAACAACAACAACAACAAAAAATCACATCAAATGCCACTTCTGAGGATGTCATTTTTGCTCAACCCCAGCTGTTAACCTGCCACAGAGCAGCAGACACACAGCACCTCAGGACTCTCTGGGCTGGGAAGGGTAAAGAACAAGAAAGTCTGATACTCAAGTTTCAATACATAATTATTCAAATAAAGTTTAATGATTTCAATTCAATACAACTGAAAATGTAGTGTCATTAAATATCATTTTCTGCTATATTCAGGGTACACATTGGAGGCCATTTCTAGGCAGAGGCATCACATCCTAAGCATTCGGCTTATTAAGTAAGATGACGGCAGGGTCATGGCAGGAGGTGGGGAAGACAATGATCAGCTCATAGAATTTGGCTAAGACAGGAGAAAACCGAAACTAATGCAACTAACAAAATAGCTACTAATATTAGTAAAATAAAAATAAAACCCATGTCCGTGTCTTAAATGACTAGAAAAATACAGGAAAAGTCACAGCAAATAAAGTCTTCACAGAGTTGGGCAACTTTATTTGCACTTCATAGTGATTTCTTAAGGCCTATATCCAATGAGA